GACGACTGATAGATAACAACACAAAGTTATCTATTGGCGGCACCACCTATGTAGGTCCGAGTTTAGCCATCGTTAGGACTAAACAATCAGGCGACGCGTCCTACCAGGCAGTTCTGGAGAAATATCCAGAGTTACAACAACCGAAACACACTCTTCCGTGCATAACCAGCAATGTTATGCATCACGTCACAACCACAGGTCCACCTGTGGCATCCAAAGCTCGCCGTTTAGCCCCCGATAAGCTGCAAACGGCGAAAAATGAATTCGACCATATGCTGGAACTGGGCATTATCAGACCGTCAAACAGTCCTTGGGCATCGCCATTGCACATGGTTCCCAAAAAGGATAGCAACGACTGGCGTCCGACCGGTGATTACCGAAGGCTTAACGCCAAAACAACTCCGGACTGCTACCCTATACCTCACGTTTACGACTTGACCGCAACCTTATGCGGCATGAACATTTTCTCGAAAATCGACTTGGTCAAAGCGTACAACCAGATACCTATGGCAGCAGAAGATATCGCGAAAACAGCCATTATTACTCCTTTTGGCCTGTTTGAATTCCTGCGCATGCCATTTGGTCTTCGGAATGCAGCACAAACATTCCAACGCTTTATGGACGACGTCTTCCGTGGTTTGAATTTTGTTCATGTCTACATCGATGACTGTCTAATTGCGAGTCCAGATAAGGAAACTCACCTTAAACATTTGGACCTCGCATTCGAAAGACTCAAAAAACATGGCATCACAGTTAACTTACAGAAGTGTGAAATAGGAGTTGAATCACTCAGCTTCCTTGGGCATACCATTGACAACAAAGGTATACGCCCATTGAGAGATAAAGTGGCGGCTATCACAAACTATCCAGAGCCGACCACTGTGAAACATCTCCGCACTTTCAATGGCCTGGTAAGTTATTACCGAAGGTTTATCCCTAACTGTGCCTCTGTCATGAGACCACTCACAGATCTACTTCGAGGAACTGCGAAGTTCGTGTCTCTGGACAACGCGGCTAGACTTGCTTTTTCTAAAGTCAAGGAAGCCATTTCGAACGCAACCATGCTTATGCATCATGACCCCAATGCTCCTTTAGTATTGCTGTTGATGCATCTGATTCAGCAATTGGAGCAGTTTTGCAACAGTTGACTGACAACCAGTGGCAACCGTTAGCCTTTTTCTCGAGGCGGCTGCAAGACGCGGAAACAAGATACAGTACATTTGGTAGGGAACTCCTAGTTGTGTACTGTTCTGTGTGCCACTTTCGACATTCTGCAGATGGTCGTGATTTCATTATTTTGACGGACGACGATAACTCCGTAACCGGTGCACTATCACGAATAGCTCCGATAAATCATATCGAGGGCGTTGATCTCATTGAAGTAGCTCGGTGTCAAAAGGTAGACCTTGAGCTGCATCATGATTTGTCGTCCACAACTCTCAAGCTTAGACTTCGTCCAGTTGGATCAGACAAGGATACAATTTTGTGCGATGTCTCTGCTAGTCAACCACGCCCAATAGTTCCGAAGAGTTGTCGACGCAACGTCTTCAATACGTTGCACAAACTCTCTCATCCAGGTGTACGAGCCACCATTAGGCTTATCGCACAACGTTTCTGCTGGCCTGGGATGAACAAAGACGTTAAGGAGTGGGCCCAGTCGTGCTTAGCTTGTCAAAAGTGTAAAGTCACGCGACACACGAAAAGCCCTTTAGGCTCATTTCTAGCCCCAGACATGCGTTTCGACCACGTCCATATAGATATTGTAGGACCCCTAACAGAATCTAATGGATGTACCTACCTTTTCACCTGTGTTGATCGTTTCACACGATGGCCGGAAGCAGTACCCATTAAAGATATTACTGCCGAAACAGTTGCTCGTGTTTTCGTCGAAAGATGGATCGCGAACTTCGGATGTCCATCTTACGTCACAACCGACCGTGGGCGCCAATTTCACACTCTAACGGCACTTTTAGGTTGCACTCGGTTCCGAACGACAGCCTACCATCCACAAGCAAATGGCATGGTAGAGCGTTTCCATCGACAGCTGAAAGCTTCCCTTTCAGCTACAAACATACCTCAGTGGACTGCCTCTAGTCCTACTAGGTATTCGTAACGCGTTGAAAGTTGATGCTGGATGCACTCCTGCAGAACTCGTCTATGGGACCACTCTTCGCCTACCAGGTGAGTTTGTTTCCCCTTCAACTTTCAAACACGTTTCCGACAGGGCATCTTACGTGACTAGGCTTACAAACGCAATGCGTTCAGTTAGGCCTTCTCCGATTAGACCGCAAACGACTGATGTTTTCGTCCACCCCAGTTTACAGAAGACATCACACGTGTTTGTTCGCCACGACGCTGTTCGTCGACCACTTGAACCACCCTACGACGGGCCGTTCAAAGTGATTAAGCGACATGAGAAATTCTATGTAATTGAGCGAGACGGACGTGAAGATACTGTCAGTATCGACCGTTTGAAACCAGCTTATTTCGAAGGCAACCCCATTATAAGTGACGTTTCAGCTCGCTACATCCGACCGACGGATGACTCAATTATCGAAATTCTCGACGATGTGCCTGGTAATGCACAGCTGCAACAACCATCGGCGCAACAAAAAACACGATCAGGTCGAACCGTCAGGTTCCCAGAGTACCTGAAGTCATATTCAACTTAGCGGTGTGTGTGCCAACCATTTTTTTTCGAGGCACTATTTTTCTTATTTACCGGCACAAACCCTCGTACACTTTGCCTTTTATATCAATTTTTATTACCATGTAATAAAAACTAAAAAACGGCGAAGATAAGCGTAAATTTTTATTTTTCGATATGTTTATATATAAATAATTCCCATTTTTACGCAACGTTTTCGTGGTATTAAAGACTTTTATTTATATTCCAGGTGCAACGAGCACTGGACGGAACGTCGAAAGGAACAGATGACCGCGATCGACGTACAATTTCATTTATTGTATTTTATTTATTTAATTGCCACGACACCCTAGAATAAGGTTCAGACAACCAGGGGCCACCTCACGCAGTGAGCCCATCGGAAGAGTTTTACCAGTGGAGAAACCACTGGGTTTTTACTTCCGGCTGGTATCGTCTTAGGGTCCTCACGAACCCACTAGGGGGGAGTGATCTGTAGCGTCATACACTTCCCCAAAATCAATAGCCTAGGGTTTGACGACTTCGACATTGATGCTGACCTTGATAGTTTAACTGGACTCGCTAAGCTGAAGGCACCCGGTCAAGCATCCTCGCCATTTGGCACGCTGTCGTGTTACGTTGCATTGCTCGTATTCGACTCTCTAGCCAGTTAGTTGGAACGCATCGGTATTTTGGCATAACCATCCAAATATACTATTCCATCCGACTACGCTATCGTGTTCTTCCTTGGTCTCGTATTCGTGGGTATATAACAAGTCCGAATAGTTAGTGATTGGTCTTTGCGTCTGTCAAGTTCGCAGCAGGACAAATCCTAAAACCACCTCTCAAGCGACCCTGAGTATCAGATGCAACCAAGAGGCGAACGCAGAGAAAAAAGGCGTGGTATGTGTGGCGCATGTTGCAGAGGGAATCAGACTTTATTTGTATAATAGGAGTGTTCGAATGACAGATACAAATCCTGGAGACACCTGGTTAAATGGATAAGTTGCGATACCGACAGCTTATATGATAGGTGCTACAACAAAAACCGATGAACAAGTGTTCAAACCTGGTCGCAGGGCCAGCCGGAGAACCTTGAATAGCAGTGAGATAGCGAAACTGTTAAGCAACCGACTTGATTAGGAGCTCAACTCTATGATACATCCACTGCCAACATCTACAGATGCGACAAAGTTCAAGGACTGCAACGCGAATCTGACGGACATGAAGATTTCATCATATCAAGCGTTTGCAAAGATTTTGGCACTCAGAGTAGGGAAACCTCCTGGCTGCGAGGAGATAAGATTGGTGGGCCCAAGAAAATGTGCCGAGCTGCTGAGCCTACCCAATACAGGCTGTTCACGCACCCGTAAGAAGTAAGCCAACCCCGGAAAGATGGAAGTTTGTCATTTTTTCCGCAATTTTCGAGGGGGGAGACCGAAAAACCAGCGCAATTGCAGGTCGGTGGTGTCAATTTCCATATTATTTGGTGTTGCAGATGTTGTTTAGGACTACACAGACAGGAACGACATCGTCCAGCCCACCCAACATGGCTTTAGGACCGGACAGTCTTGTGCCACAGACTTGATGACCTATGGGATGACTGGGCCACTGGGTGGGACCGTTCACACTAAGCCGTCGACGGAAGAGAGGTGACCTAATAAACAGTTAAAAAAGATCATTCGCCAACTGGACAATCTAAATCGGTCAGCGTTATCCGCAAGAAACTGACAGTCTCGTGGGAACCCCACCTGTGTACTTCACCATTGGGGAAAGAAAAGGGTGAGATCAAACATCCTCTCGCACAGTGTGTGCCTTGTGGAACTCTCTTCCATAGGGATTAGTCACAGATGCAAATGGCTTACTATGAACATTCGTTGATAGCACCTGAAGGTATGCTCATCCACCCGCGTATTCTCCAGTCGTAATACGAGCGATAAGATGCATTACTTCACCATATTTTACCAGTAATGCATATTTTTCCAAACGTACTTTTCACTCCTTTTTTCTCATTCCCTACTCCCTATTTCTTTCAGTTTTTCAGTAACCCCTCGTACATACTTGCAGGTGCCTACAAAAACAGGCCTTGCAAAATGTTCACTGATACTATCGGCAGCTTCATTGTCCCTCCAAACAAACAAACCGACACTTTTCAAGAAAAAATACCTTCAAATGGACAATCACAGTCTCTAAAGTTATAATCAAGAAAAACGTAATGGATTCTGCAACCACCAAAGCAGCATTACGTGGCAAAGAAACCGAGCCTCAAGAACTAGAAGCGAGAGCTCAAAAACTACAAATTTCCTCTAATCCCACTGTTGTTGTTAGATGTTTTTGAATGTCCTTTCTAAGTGTTACAATTTCAAGTTTCAAGGTTGTTGTACGTTGGTTGATGGGACTGGGGTTTTCAATTATCTCAATGTCTGTAAATACCTCACTCCTTGAAGTCATGTAGGACGAAAATTACGTTGGTCCATTGTTTGGATATTGAATTTAGACTTGATTCAAACTTATGTTGCATAGAAAATCCGTGTAGTCACGATTCTAAGTATCATAATTCGTAAGTGCATCTGATTATCAGTTTTCTAAGCATACGGAATACTTCAGAAGAATGACATCTCTCTCCAAAAGTCGGAAGGTGTGGAAGTGCTCGAATACCAGGACTTCCTAGTGCCTTCCATGAATGATATACTAAACTATAGATTTCAATGGAAGTTCCTGACCAGCATTCACTTTAGGTGATAACCCCAAACATTGTACCTTAGGCGCTTACGGGGTGACGCACGATATTCTTCAATAGTTCCAAACCTTTTAACCGAAAATGTCAAATGTTCCAAACTGCGCCCGAAAGTTTCCGCCGACGGTGTCAAAGTTCCTCATTGCACCAGAAGTATTTTTCCCAAAGTTTCAAAAGGTCTTAAGTGTGGAAACACGTTTCCCATTTGTCGAAACCCATGTACAATACGTAAATGTAAAAATGAATTCATTCTCTAACAATAAAGGTACATAACATTCTGTTCATCTTCATTCCATTTCGCTGACGGTCTCCGGCGAACTGGGTACACGAGTGTTCTCCGCATACTTTGAGACAACTTCCTCACCTTTAGACAGTTCAGTAACCTATGGGAATTGTATTATGGAACACATTAAGCTTACCATTTCCCCTCACTTCGACTTTTTCTAACTCATTTTCAATCTGTCGCGACTGTTGTGAAACCATTGTTGAATGAGTTTGGATTTTTCTGCAGTTACCTCTTTGTTGTCGCTGCCATGATTATGAATGTTAAAAAGAGCGTCTTCGTATGTGATAAGTTGAAAACGGTAACTTACTGATAGCAAGTTTCAACATTAGCGTTTTCTTGAAGGGACGTTTGTCTTCCATCGAAAACCACGAGTATAGCATGCTGAAGTTGGGTTCTAGCAGCGTACCCATTATGCGATGTAACGAAACACCCATGTCCAATTCCACAAAGTAAGACAACTCCTGGGCTGCAACTCAGCAATATTCATGGCCAGCCATGTCACGTTCCAACTCTTGTATTCGCAAATCAGTACCAATAAACCGTTTCCCGGAGGCTTTAAGCTTCTCGGAAGAATCCATTGAAGTAACCTGCTTGTACAAGGAACTGGTTTCCATCAGGATGGCAGTCATTTTCCCCAGTCTGCCAAAACGTTTGTCAAAGTAACTAGGAGACTTCTGACTGATTTCACAAATATCGGTTTGAACTTGGACATTCACAGTAAGGCTGTGTATAATGTTACTGTTGAAGGTTAACTTACGGGACGGCATTGAAAGTAGGCAAAGTCGATGAATCATGGGCCGATGAAGATTGGCTGCTGGATTAAATGAATGTCAGGAAATTGTAGCACCTGTTGGAGGAGGAACTGGTGAACTGCTTCCTGAACTGAAATCGAAGCCCCCATCTACCGGAAGTCGCTATGGGTGGTCTGCACCCCGGTTCCACGCACTTCAGCCTTGCGAACAATGCAACTGAAAACAGAAATTAATGAAAATTCGACACATACCGGTTACGTTTCACGTCACTTGATAAGTCTTTTGGACTACTATACAGCCTTTCTATACCTGCATATGCCTCATGCGCCTTATCGATGTTGTCTGTAACAGTTAATTTACACGAAAGGATAGTACCGTAAGTCGCAAGCGGTGTAAAACTGTAAGATGAAAATCCCTCAGTGGGCTGGTTATAGTTCTTAACATCAAGCCACTTGTGACCTTTAGGTATACGAACGTAGCCTTGTGGAAGCCATGTTTCGGATTCTATGACTACATTGCCTAAGGTGGGTGATTTTGCAGTTGCGTAATTAGACATCTGAAAAAGAAAACTGATTAATGTATGCTTTCTCAACAAACAAACAGAAAGGGAGGACAGGGTCACGTTTTATTTATAAACTAACAACTACACAGGAAATTAAACTGGCAGTCACATATACGTCTAAAAAGTATGTATACAATGCGAAAGAATGCAAAATCTATATGTATTAGCCATAATTTCAGCTGTTAATGTGTCAACTATCCATGTTTCCACAGCTAGCGTTCACTGAGTTCCATCTGAAAGGTGTGAAGCAAGGGAATGACTATGGAATAGTTACTCAAAGCCAAACACATACATTTAGTCTATACGTTTGCGTAGGTAACTATGCTTGTGGTTGCTTCGAAATTACCAATTTTTTAAGTCCCAATGTCTGCCGGATCTATTGGTTTCATGAAAAAGGAATTGAGATTACAATACCCTCGAAACAGAAACTGTCTCATTCAGAACCTGAGTTACAATCCAAGGTTGCGACCCAAGTAAAACATAGTTGTTTGGAGATGTCGTATTAATGGTAAACCTACTTAAAAAAGCCTTTTACTTATTGGTATCTATCAATACGCTTTTCTCATATGTAATCCCAGAAGTCTCCCTTTCAACAAGGGACCTCTCGGCTATTCGTTTCCTAACTTCGACAGCGGGATTGCTTGAACCGACTACCAGCTTCTGTAGAACGTGTATGTGTGACTCAAAGAGAAAGCTAGAAAATGATTCCACGGAAGTACTCAGCGACGTCGTCTAACAAGTGTAATAGTTCGTGAACATTACACATCATATTTACAACTCCAAAAATGGTCTGAAAATTACGAACGAACTTATTAGGCATTGCTGTTATACTGTCTAGATGATCATAGTAATAGAGTGGGTGACTTAGTAGGTAAGCGGTCAAAAATAAATCCATGAAGTGGTCAAATAAAAAGGAGGGTAAAAGATCTTTTAAATATGCCACACCTAAGTACAAGAGGAACAGGCGACATTCTGTTGCTTTCCACCCATCGGTTTCCGCCAGCGGTTGGCGCTTACGTTGAAATCCACATAGTATGATAGCATGAGAGCTGCTTAACCTAACGTTAATTTGGTTTATATGGCTATTCATACCATACAAGAGTTGGAACGTGACATGACTGGCCATGAATATTGCTGAGTTGCAGCCCAGGAGTTGTCTTACTTTGTGGAATTGGACATGGGTGTTTCGTTACATCGCATAATGGGTACGCTGCTAGAACCCAACTTCAGCATGCTATACTCGTGGTTTTCGATGGAAGACAAACGTCCCTTCAAGAAAACGCTAATGTTGAAACTTGCTATCAGTAAGTTACCGTTTTCAACTTATCACATACGAAGACGCTCTTTTAACATTCATAATCATGGCAGCGACAACAAAGAGGTAACTGCAGAAAAATCCAAACTCATTCAACAATGGTTTCACAACAGTCGCGACAGATTGAAAATGAGTTAGAAAAAGTCGAAGTGAGGGGAAATGGTAAGCTTAATGTGTTCCATAATACAATTCCCATAGGTTACTGAACTGTCTAAAGGTGAGGAAGTTGTCTCAAAGTATGCGGAGAACACTCGTGTACCCAGTTCGCCGGAGACCGTCAGCGAAATGGAATGAAGATGAACAGAATGTTACGTACCTTTATTGTTAGAGAATGAATTCATTTTTACATTTACGTATTGTACATGGGTTTCGACAAATGGGAAACGTGTTTCCACACTTAAGACCTTTTGAAACTTTGGGAAAAATACTTCTGGTGCAATGAGGAACTTTTGACACCGTCGGCGGAAACTTTCGGGCGCAGTTTGGAACATTTGACATTTTCGGTTAAAAGGTTTGGAACTATTGAAGAATATCGTGCGTCACCCCGTAAGCACTTAAACTACAGTTTTCGGGTTTTTACCCAAAAATTACGCCCGAAGTAAATGCCGGGAGTTATAGACACGTACCCGCCTACGTCTTCTACATAGATTTCTCTACGCTTTTAGTTGTATTATAGCAACGTATTATTCAGCTTAACACAGTTAACTTATAGCACTTTATTCTGAGAAGTGCGTACGTGAGCAGCTATTCTGAAAAGAAATCGAGAAAAGTTTTTCAAAAGTATATCAGAAACCGAAGTTGCGACGCTGCATAGGGTTCAATTTAGCCTCTGTAGACCGCTTTATGCAAGTTATTCTGAGAGTATTTTTGTATCGTGCCTAGTATAGACCCTCAAGTTCGTTAAATGTCCTTGAAAGGTCCAAGTCCCAGTGTCTATGATGACCGTCTTCAGCGCGATAACATACATATTAGACATCGGCATATGAAACATCATTATTGTGTGGGTGGTTTAGCAATTTCGAGACAGAATGACGGTTAGTGGTTTGTTCACTAAATTATCCTTAAGTAGTTGGAAAGTTACGTGCTCATACAGAAAATCGCAGCACTTACAGACTTTCCTTAAGTCGATTCGGAAGTGTAAAAGTTGCTTGTTGCGTATTAAGTTCCGCGTGAAGAAATTGAAAACCTATCGAATTCCACTCAGAAGCATTGTGCCCTTTGTGAAGTGAGCCACGCCTAATGTGTGGGAGCTAATAGCAGTCAAGTGTAACCAAAAAATTCATGAGGGCTTGGTAAACACCCTTTGTCGTTATAACTTCATACAGCATCATTTGTATTACTGCTTCAAAATAGTTAACGTCTTAAATGACCATGTCTCTAGAATTCATTGACTTGTTGAGAATAGATGATTAGAATAGGCACGAAATTTAAGTCCCTTATCCAGAAGTAAATTTATTATCCCTGGTTGTGATCCCACTGGAACACAATGGTTCGGCTATGTATTCGGAGTCCTCAACTACCTGAAAACATCTTTCGGCTTTTCAGTATCTGCAAGTGGATAATTGGTATACTTAGACCTAGAGAAACCTATTTTCACCATAAATCACTCTTTTATTCGCTTAATAACTTGTACAGCACGATTGTTCAAACCAGTAGTCAACTATTGCAGAACATGCCTATTTGAAATAGACAGAAAGTATCAGAGTCAATGCAACCGTAGTTAGTTATGTAATCAAGTGATTGTCGCAAATCACGAATACTACATACCATATCTTTACTACCAAGGATGAGATTGAAGTTGTCTACGAATCTGATAAATAATTTTACTGTATTGCAGATAGTAAAAGCAATGTGAAGGGTAACTCAGTAGTTATGCAATTAAAAATGAGTTCATTACTTTGTCGTACAAACACGGCAGTGGAATACCCTCCATATGTACGACACAAATACAAGAGAAACGAGCGACATTCTATTGCTTTCCATCTTTCTGCTATTGCTAATATTCTGCAGCTACTTTGAAAATCATATGGCTTAAATTTGTGTGGATTGATTAAACGAGTGTAAGTTGTATGATTAATATTATTGTTCATACCATCTTGCCCAGTATAAGGCATGTACCACAACCCTAGTAATTTACGAACAACCCCAAGCGATACGAAGTTCGTTGGATCTGGTAGAAATATCTCAATCATATCAATGCTCAACTGCTATGATGACAACTTCTATTAATGGTGACCCGGTTGTATTCGATGTCTGAAGCTGTCGTTTGTTCGCAGATGACCGCAGATTCTGATCAGAACCATGCAGTTCAGTTTCCGTTTGTATATAACCTCACAATTGTCACAATTTTGTTCCAAGTTGTGTTTTGGTATCTATTTAGCGCATGACATGTCAGCGTTTTATACCTGATAACCTTTAATACTGGGGACACTGCATCATTAATCGGGATACCGGATCGTTGGATTGTCTTAAGTTCAACAGTAATATCTCTGGAAGCTGATTTAGGCAAACTATATTATACATCAACCAGAAAGACTTCACTAATCTCGAGTTATCAGCCTACCGATAATAAGCCGCGCTCACAAGTTTGAATTCATAAAACGTTAGACTCCATCAACATTCAACTGCAAAAGAAGTGTCCGTTTCAAAGATGTTTCTTCGTCATTCCTCAAACGGGATTGAAGCAAGTATTAAAGGTTAACATGGACATAAGTGACCAGCCTCATGGACTTGTTTGTGAGTCCTCAAAAATGTTCTTGGGTCTATAGAAAGTTCGCAGTAAAATGGTCGCAATTGTTCTACAAGGATGCCTCCAACCACTGTGGTCACTAGACAATGTTCTCACCCGCATTCAGAATTGAATGTTTCTTTCCGCCAAATAAATCATCATGGAAGCCTTGGGTTGGTAGTTTATTCGTCTGTACATCATCTTATAGGTTGCACTACAGGCAGCCTGCGGTATATGAGTTGCAAGTCGATGAAGTGGCTTGAAGACCTAACATACTGAAGTTAATAATACGTATGTACTTACTCTGAGTCTCAAAATAGGCAACAGATAGACACGGGGGAGGGGGTTGGGGTTTGTTCCTGATTACAATACTGCCGTTGAGTTAACTGTCAAAACTTTCGGGAATTCATAATTAGTTTGATCATTTATATCTAATGACAGGAATTTAGAGCTTACTTTTGTTTGTCTTTATTTCTGTATAAAGTTCCACTTTTAGTTTACGTCGACATATTGATTTACATGTTTGTTAGGCCATGTCAATATGGACCAGGCGTTTGGGTTTGGTCTTGGAATGGACGTGTCACGGGATTCCATGGATAACGTGCGTTTTACTCTGGCTTGTATTGTTGTTATGCAGTAATATGCACGAAGCCAATGTACAGTCATTATACGATGTAGTATGGAATTGGAAGGACCGTCTTTCTTACCGATCTGGTTTCGAAGTTAATTCAAATATTTCAAAACTACTTTCTTTACTTATTGCCTTATTACTCGATGTAGTTCTAGTAGGCCTAATCAAGTTCATATTTCGACGTCAGAGACCTAAAGAAGATAATCATTCAGATATGCGATTAACTGTGGGAGTTGATGCATGGTCTTTCCCTTCAGGTTTGTCTTAAATGATATTAAATCAATTTCATATTTTGAATAGTCTTATTCTTCGGTTGAAAGTTATTGTGAAATTGACTGGACCATAGTATTAGTGTGTAATTTATCAAGAAAAGATCTTTGATTGGTGATGCATAGCAAGGGAATTTAGGACGCAGGTTTCTTCCTGTGTGATACTAATCAACTGGATGCCGTGGCCTCCAAGTATTCTCGCTGAATGTCGAGCCGAATTGTTATCCCTGTAACTACTGACTCAAGAAAGCTGCCCCGTGTAATAAGTTACACCTTTTGTTGCCTCATCCCTGTAATTTCCAGTCGTTTATTTTGCTGACTGATTTTCTGGCACACGGGCTCCCTGGGTTCGAGTCTCGCTGGAAGACGAATACGTCCAGCTGACATGTTTTGAATCATCTAGTTACCACTAACCAAAAGCATCAAAATAAAATTAAAGGCAGGGTTGAGTTTCAAAGAGCCCATGTAGGAACAGAGACCAATCAGTTTAGTCCAGGAGAACAAATCTCCCCAAAATATTTTTATGAATAACCAGTCATTCTTTCGTGTAGTTTCTCTACTTTATCACTCACTCAAAAATATGTGATTTTCTGTTAGCAAAAGTGTGTTCTCACTAACAGAATTTTGTTTTACAGGTGATCTTGCAATCTAAACTCTCCACTTTTAACTACTGGATAGTGGCTATGAATCGTTTTGCACTATTTTTCCGCACATAATGTGTTCAACTCATAGACTAGTACAATGGTCTGTCTACGCTTCATTCAATCTCTACACATGTAGTACATAATGGAAACGCGGTAGTTCTTTTTATCAACATATAAATGACCCGTTTATTTCCAGATACTCTATATTTTATTGTGACGATATTCAGCGGTTATTATCAAGAGGTTCACATAGTTTTGTACCAGTACACGTAAATAGAGGAGTGGCCTACTGATTCAAGCAGTCATTTCCTAGATTTAATTTTAAGTTATCTTCCAAACAATGTCGTTAACCTTTGGAAATACCTGGGGTTACTGGATTGGTGCACCATTTAAAATGCAAAACAAATGAAAAAGCAGTCAACCAAAACTAGTTGTAAGGGACTTTACCTCATCACACTTGAGTCATTCTTAGATATCAGAGATGAATACTTTTGAATATTCATCCATTAGGTTGATATAGAAGTAATCGCTCTCAAAACAGTTTTCATCAACCGAATAAACATTGAAAACCAGGGGTCACTATAATGGCAGTTTTGACCCAGTTCAAGGCTGCCCAACAGTGTACACTCACACTCATGTTAGCTGAAGTTGTGACACGGCAAGCACGCTACTGTCTACATTTCTCGGCTTTTGTTAATTCGTAGTGTAACACAACTATCATTTAATTTCGCCGACAAGCATAATTGGCTTGTTTCAAGACAGATTTTCTTGAGTTCTTGATGAGAAGACCTGATTTGTGAACTCAACCAGTTCAGATTAGAGTATAGATACTCACCAGTGACTATAATACCAGCCGACAGAAGTTGGAAAAGACGAGCCATTGGTTTCCCATGCAGTGGATGAATGGTAATATAGTTGCAGTGATCATTTAATGTTTCTAGGTTTGACTCTGCGTGGAATGGTTGATGCGTACTGTTGAAGGGTCATCAACTAGGAAGAAGCAGTTATCGTGTGCTCATCGGTGTTCAGTGGTTTTCTGACCGATGTCCATCCGTGATGAATATTTTGAATAATTATTAATTATACAACTTGTTTGAACATTTTATCAAACTTGTTTTTTGAATCAGAAATTGATTAGTACATGCTAGTCGGATGACAGCATTGTAATATAACATCCGGCTTAAAAAGTACGGTGTTTGATAGTCTAATAGTGTACTATAATGTTATTCATTACTGATTGTGAAAATTCTTATTAAAACGTATCATAGTTCCTATTATCCTGATTTCTCTTTACATATACCATTCAGGCCATGCTAGCCGTTCAACAATGTTATTCTTTTTAATCTCATACCTATGGCTTTCTTCATCAAACATACGGATAATGTGCCTATTTTTATTGTGGAATATTATTGTATGCTACTCACGTTATGCAATGCGTCGACATCATTTAACAGATATACTAGCTGGTTGTGTATTAGGCTGTGCGGAGTATTATCTAATAACACTAATTAATTGGTAATCATCATCTGTCTACATATCGTTTTTACTGTTTTGGTAGAGAAATAAACTGAAAGAAAAGATAAGACAAGTGATATATTTTTGTAGTGGGGATAAAAAAGCCGAGATGTATTTTTTTAAACCATCTTATTTTAATTTAACTTTTGATTTGGTTGCAATCTTATTTTGTGCAATCGTCTGCCAAAGAAGGATAAGAGACTTGCTGTTGGAAAATTATCCAGTTAGATCCTAGTTTCTTTTGGATAGATTTTTGGCAGTTTTATCGTTAGCAATCCTTTTTCAAAACAAAATACGCAATTTCTGTAAACTTTTTATAATTCACAACCCGTTTTCCTTGATTGTGCAATAGTTTCTTGACTTCTTGATCAATTTATTCAAGATATTGCTTTATTGAAACATTGGACACTCAAATTTCCTTTCGCTTGCACACGTTACTTTTTAGTTTCAACTATTTTAGGGTATGCTTTTTATATGTTGTAATAGAGAACATTTTTTAAAGAGTACTACTTCGTTTTCTATTTTCATGAAAGAAGTTTATAAGCAAAACTTGGGCCCTATGGTTGAGTGTAATTCTATATTTGTGGTTAACCTGGTTTTGCAAACAGCGACACAATATTATTCACTGGGTGACGTTTGTGACCATTTTATTTCTCTGAATCATGTTATAGCCATAAATTTCAGCTTCATACGTAATCCAGTAAATAATGCTGTATCACTAAGTGCTATACCATGTAAACTAACCTAATATTGAACGTGGAATAAATACATAACATACGCGGTGTGAAGAGATACGTATTACATGAAATGGTTCGATAATATTTTAAAGGGTAAGACTGGAAAGAAAGTAACACGTAAAATCATATTCAAAGAATTCTACGTTATTTTTTCGTCGTGATTTATATTACTGTTTGTTAGGAAAAAAGAAGAGAACTGGGAAATAGTCAATGCAGACTTTGACTTTGAGGTATATCTAAAAGCCTCTAAAGTCACTAATTTGTATAGTCTGTAGCTACGGGAGTGACGATGCAGTAAGTTTATATATCTGTGCTTCATTCGATTTCACTATGCCCCACGGGTTGGATCTTTGTATTTTGAACATTGTTTGAGGGTTTGATAAATCAAGGTTCAATCCTCAAGGTACTTAAATACCCCGTGCAAAGGTTTTAGACAATTATAATTTGCCTTGCGCGATCCATTCAATTATTGATATTTGGAATTCCACTTAAAATTCAACATGAAATTACCGCAAACTAAATCATAATAAACTTCAATTTTGAGCAACAAATATCTCAAGAAAGTCTAGTCTTGGTTGAATAAACTTGTATTCGTATTGATCCTGTGAAAACTGTATCGTTCAGATGAAGGCCTATGGGGATTTATTGCTTTCAAGAAAGTTTTCGCGACAGATTGACATTAGGTGAAGAACGATTGAGAACCTGTGTTCTTTGTTTCGTCGTAGCTTGGGATACCTCAACAGACTGACACCGACTGACAAAATCAACGTAGAACTTCGCACACAAGTGTATTGGCTCAGGTCACCACACTTCACTGTGGTACACAAGAAACAAGTGGGTAGAATAATATTGATAGAGTATAAAAAGTGGTATGAGAACAAACACTTTGAAGATAAAGTTTAGTGTAGATACTTAAGCTTGAGAAAATGTCAAAGAGTAAATACATCGCCATGGTGTCCGATTCTCAGCCAATGTAACCAAGACTCCTCAACCACTGGTTCCTTTTGTCTTTGGTATCCCAACTAGACTTTCTACATCTCCCCACACAGCTAAGAGCAATATTAACAGACTTCATCGACCGGTGCCACGTCTTGGTTGGGCCACTCTGAACCCTCTTCACACCCAGTTCTGTTTCGCGTAGCGTTGCAAATCGAGCTAGGTGGTGGCTCGGCATGCACACTGCATGTCCTGTGATCAAAACCCTGTAATAGGTTAGTGTCTTCCACTTTTAACAGCCATGTCTCATAGACGTTCAACAGAACAGACTAGAGTACGGTATGCTTATCCTTTAATATGTAATTGCATTTCTCCCCGGCCCCAGTTGCAAACTAAGAAACAGACCTTCAATATCCCAGATGAGATTTCCTCACCAAAAAGCTTGTTTGAGTTAATGAAAATCCCCAACTAAGTGAAACAGTCGACACATTCCACTAATTCACTCCCAATCATTAAACCAGCAGTGGTTGCAGACCCGTCCTGGAGCGTCATCTTACGTTTAACAGGTGCCAGTATAACGCATGCCAAACATACTCAGATTTATCCTCAATGCGATCAGAAAACCCTCCAGGAAAATATCATCTCTATACTCCAAGTCAACCGGATGACCTCCAGGCAGTAGGTCGACAGCTGTATAACAGAAAGTAAATCAAGTTATGTCTATCAGTACGTCGATGACGAAGTTAAATGGGAAGGGTGACAGTGGACATCCTTGCCGGACACCACTAGTTGTCGTCAATTCACATGACAACTCTTCATAAGCCCTGACACAGCTACATGAGTTCGATTAAGGACCTTTCATTAACGTTGTATACTTTCTCGGGACTCTCTGCACAGTCAAACAATGCCACTAACCCTTCTCTGTCGACAAGGTCAAATGCTGCTTTCAGGTCAAGAAATATGGTAAGTGTCGGTTGCCGGTAAGTACACCTGAGTTTCAGAACATGTCAAAGGGTGAAAACGTGGTCAATAAACCCTCATCCAGGTTTCAAACCTGGTTGGTTTTCTGGTGTGTTTTGTTATCGAGCTCCAGTTAAGCCTTGCAAAACTATGGACATACAGATCTCGGACACGATGCTGTCACTAGAGTTCTTATCTCCCTTCCTATAGACTGGAATGATCAGTGAAGTAGATTAATCTGAAGTGACTACCTCTGATCCCCATGCACTACCTAGTATCTCCGTTACCATAACTAGTGATTTCCTACCTCCATCCATAAAATTATCATGCGGCAAACTATCAGGTTCTGCTGCCTTGCATTGTTTCAGGTCCGAAACAGCCTTTTCAACTTTGAGGAGAGTCGGAAGACAGACATCTACTTCTCATTGACATTCAGGCCGGATACCAGACAACTTAGGCGTTGCTCTGAGCCAGTTGAACTGTGCTTCATCCAACATTCTAACTGCCTATTCTGAGAGGTCATCAGCGTGCCATCCTTTCAGTGATTCCTTCACTAACTGGTGTCTTCTTCCTACAAGTATCTTCAATAATCCTAGACAGTTGCCAGGTATTGCCCAACCATGATACCTTCTCCATCTCTCTCACTTTCATCCCCCACCACTCCTAGCGACCATTGCGAAGATCCCTGGCCAATTTACGTTTAAGTTGCTTCCACTCTTCATTGAGGTCAGAGCCTGCTGGAATGAGTCTTCACGCATTAGTCAGGTCGGATGATGTTGAAATCCATCGGACTTTGCTGACCTTTGGATGAAGGTTACCAACTGTCTTTACCAATGTCTCTACAGCAGACTTAATATCACATCAGACTTTCTCAGACAAATGTCCAGGTAATTCCTCCCTAAATTCGTACCTGATGTTCTCATCTTCCAAGCAAGCACTTAAAGGCTTAACTGTCACCTGCCTTCTGCGACCAGTAGGACGCAGACATACACGTGCCCGTATTAACGCATGATCACAATTCAAACAGGCACTCCAGAAAGACCGATGGTCCCCCAGCGATCCTCTCCAACCACAGCCTATTGCAGTGTGGTCTATTTGTGCCTATCATCAGTTTGATGTTAGCGGAAGTTTGTACTGACCGATAAAAAGTGATTGTCAGAAAGAGATTGTAACAATCAACCACTGTTGTCGGTTCGTTGAAACAGGATACCATAGATACCTCTCAGAAGCCTTTCCGATTGGCTCAGGTGTTCTACTTGAACGTTGAAGTCACCTACTTTGTCTGAACGTTCTTCTTTCTGTAGCAAAATCGACAACTTTTCATAGAATTCATCCTTTTTCTCATTTGAACTGCAGTCAATGGGCGCGAAGATGGGGATTATGAATAGGTATCGGTTGGCCTCCCGATCATTCCTAGTTCTTACAGATCCATTCAGCTGGATAGTATACACATAGCTGTTGACTGGTACTCAGTCGAAGAGTGCGCTTTCTGCTGTTATGCCTACAAAGGCGAGTTCACGAGAATTAGCCATTAAGTCTCCCTCTCCCCACAATAGCCAGGTGAATAACCACACACATGTCTCATATACGTGTCTCACAAGCACAGCATACTTCTATGTCTCGTGATTCCAGAATTCTGACGAGTGGTGCTTACTACTCGACTTGGCATAGGGTTCGGATGTTGAAAGCTCTTAAGTTAAATCGACAGTGGGGCTTTAGGAGACTAGGAGTGAGGTTTCAGTAGCTCTGATCGTTGGCAATCGTCGCAGAGTGTGAGGTTTGATTAACAGTTGAGTGGCAAAATTCAGTTGGTGAAGTACAGAGATGGTAGCCGTCCACTGGGGGTCAGAATTTCATACAACTTAGGTTTTTACTCATTGAATTCTTCACTGGCAGTTTGCTAATATTTACGATACGCTTCTCGTCATCAAAATACAAATTGTTGCTCTCTGGTGCCTTGTTTAACTATAGGGAGTGAAATGGTTGATCACATTGACCATTTTACCTACCTGGAAAGTCGGATCAACCCTGGTGGGTTAGCGATAAATGAAATTTGTGTACGGATAAAAACGACTAGACTGGCTTATGCCGTCTTTGTTTCAGCAGTAATATGTGAGGGTCGAGTGCAATGCGCTTCAGTTCACTCTGTTCTACTATGTAGTCGTAAAACATGGAGATTAAGGGTAGAGGACATGAGAAGGCTTCAGATGTTTGGTCGCCGTTGCTTCCCGAACATTGGCCGTGTGCTGTGGTGCCACTACGCGAATAGCATACAAGTTAGGCGCAGCATTTTAAGGAGAAGAAAGTCAATTGATGAGGTGGCCAACCTTTATTGACCCAGGCAGTTTGGAAGTGTGTTATATGTAGCTACTCACCGTCTACCTCGCCACACAATCTGCTGAAGTAGGTTCAGGCAGGAGAAAGGTTAGAGGTGGTCCGAGCATTGCATCACTGGATGAAGTCTATTACTGTTGGTCTCAGCCGTATAGAGAGATGTAGACTTCCAGGTCGGAGTCTACGTGACAACGGAAACCAGTGAGTGATGATTGTAGGTGATATGATTCAGAATCGATCTCAATATATCGATACATTATATTCATCCCAATCATCAATCTGGTTATCAGTAGTCTCCTACTCTTTATTTTCCTCTTTTAGTGACTTTCTACCACTTTTGACTTATGTTCTGATCTTTCATCTTTGTGCATTCTTCCTTGATTTGCTGGTACGAGGTGCGGTAACTTGGACCATTATGAAATAAAGTCAGGTCCTATGTTGATTTTATCTGTCTGTCCAACTCCGCTGCTTGGATCAGTTTGGATGCCGAATTTTCGGCATTTAGATTGTCTGTGTCTTTCCTTGCATAAGGTTTTTTC